GCATCATCGCACGGACAGCCCGTGCGTTGGCCAATTATTTAATGCTGTTACACAGCACAAACGCATAAAAATCGATGCAGAGTTGCAGATACTTAAGTGTTGCTTCAAATATGTTTAAAGAAACTAATTCTGCACTTGATGCAGTAGCCTAAGTTACCACTGTAGATTGCGGGATAGGACAAAGAGAGAGCTGAATGCAGTTTTCATGTCTGTGGCTCCGGACATGGGTAGGGAGTTTCCAAAGTTTCAGCTTGAAGCGCTTGTGGTTCTAAAAATTGTATAGACAAAGAAGCACAAATGCAGCCTTAATTTTCCCCCCAGTATTTCCGTTTGTTTGTGGCTTAAAATTCAGAATTTTTTTAAAGTAAAATTAATGGGTACAATATTTTTTGCATTGCTTTTCCAAAAATTTGTCACCAAACAGTTCCAAGTACGATTCTTTATCGCTTTCTTCATGCCGTCTTTCCGAAAAAAAGCCTTGACTGGGTTATTGATAGATTACCTAATTAGCTGGCTTCAGGCATTCGCCTTTTTAAGTATTCAAGCAAGAGCATTTTTTTCAGTGATCGAGTGCTTACATTTTATTGTACACCAATTTTTATATGACAATCCTGCAGTTTACTTATTTTATTCTTCAAGCGCTGTCGTTCTGTTTACGTCTCTCTGCTTCATTTAAGATGATGGTAAAAGAAATGGAATCAGCAGAAAATTCGCTCGGTCCCCCGGCAACCATGCTTTGGATCAAAGATTATTTGCGGTATTTGGCCAATCCAAGCGCATCCAAGTTAGATGTTCTGTTTGGAATATCCGGTCCCGAAGTTAGTGATACTGCTTATAGAACAGAAGGTTAGTTAACATTTTTTTTGTCTGCCATTGGAGTAAAGTCTGAAGCTTCAAATGATAGTGCTGCACATAATTTCGGGTCTGTAAGTTTACAGTGTAGGTTAAACTCAAACTTGAAATGCAGTAAACTGGAAGGTCTGGATAAACTTATCAGCGGGTAACTTCTATACGGCTGCTTTTCAAGTGTTTGCTACTCGTAGGACGGTCGAATACAGAAGGGTTTTGACATTTTTGAAGCTGTACACTAAAGTACAAGAATCAAAACACTTTTTCTAGAGGAACATTTGTTGGACGGAATTTGCTAAGACTTTACAATGAAAACTTAGTTTTCTGGACAAAATTATTTCACAAATTGCTGTTTTCACTGTGTACAAATTCCAGTGAAAGTTAAACATTGTAATCAGTGGAAAGTAAAAGGATTTGCTCAAAACAAAGTCATGTTTTTGTTATTGTTCACACTTCCGGAATTTGCACACAGTGAAATCGAATTTAGCAATTTGTGAAACCATTTTGTCCAAAAAACTGAGTTTTTTTGTAAAGCTTTAGCATATCCCGCAAATCTCGTGATTTACCTTTATTCTACAAAAATAAAATAATTGGTCAACGCACGGGCTGCCCATGAGAAGATGAGTTTTTTGCATAGTCCCCCGCTCTTTTTGCCGCTACCGGCACCGGTTTTTTGGCAAATTCTTCTTGCTAAATAGATTAAGATTGGCAGTCAGAACTGTCAGGAAACACCCCCTTAAAATTTCAGCTTTCTAGCTTTTCTGGCTCCTGAGTTAGCA